AATTGTTTGATTGTTGAGTGGGCCTCATAAATTATGTTTTGCATTTTAGTAGTACATTAGTATTGTCTATTGGAAGGGGGTGCAGTATGTCATGTGGTGAATGCAGTCACTCCATGCTCGTAATCCGTAGCAGATATACTCAACATGCTGTACCAAAACATGAGACGAGTAAGTTATTATTACAGTGCTCTGTATCTGTTTGTGTGTGTGTGTGTGTGTGTGTGTGTGTGTGTGTGTGTGTGTGTGTGTGTTCACTATTGCTGTTGTTGTTTGCTCTCTCAATGGTGAATTTGTATCTTCATCATTAACTTTATTCTATTTTGCAGGCCAACCCTCCTCCATTGGTGGTCAACACAGACAGTGTCGACACGCCCCCATACGTGAGTAACGTGTAATATTTCGTCAGGGATACTGAATTTAAAAGTATGTCATGTAGGGAAACAAGTCATCCAATTATGTTTTGGAAAAAAAAATCACTCATTAGCAGTGCAGTGAGAGGTGTGGAGGTGGTGACATTACGAGTTTGATTTTGTGGCATGGTTACGCCTGGTGGTAGGCGGGGGGAGGGGGGTCGTTTGGGGGGATTTTTTCCCCCCCAATATTGCAGCCTTTGCAATTTGCAAATTGCATTTAACTACATAATGATTTTGATTGATCTTTCAGCTCTAATTCTTACCACTATAAAACAATGGTTAAATGCCTCTGCCGAGTAATTTGGGCCCAGGTGTCGTTTTACTGGTAGCCAGCTGCCACAGCAAATCAGTGTCTGTTGTTGTAAGCTAACTTTACGATGTAATTACTTTCTGATTGAGTGCCTAGGAATCCAGGGAGATAAATATTTCTTTCATTCAGTTTGTTTTTTCGCATGTCCTTTAAATAAGAAGAACATAGATATAAAAAATAATTATTCCACTTGAGATATTTTGGTTGTCATTTGGCATAACACAGCAAATGCTATTGTGCCGAATAATAATAATTACTGTACTGTAATTTCCAGACTACAAAACAAACCTGACTAAATGCTAAATTTAGCCATAAAAAAACCTTTTTACACACATTAGCCGCTTCGTATAAATAGCTACGACCCCCCCCCCCGACCCAAACAATGCCGAATACAGCTACACAGTAACGTCCCAGAACCGCTTCGTCTCTCTCGTTGTCACACGAGGCCAATTCGCAGACGAGTTTCACCTCACAGCAGTGCCAGCATTTGCAAACTAGTTTGTTACCTGTTGGGTGCACCGATTTAGTATATATAAGGCTGTGAGGGGATGTCGCTCCATGACCAAACTTGCTGTCCTGTTGTCTGTTGGCAGCAATGGTGCGAGTTGGTCGCCGAAAAAAACAACAGAGAGATGGTGGTCTCACTGCAGAGATGGCTGTATTTATGGCACTCATTCCCCAGGCTCATTAAAGTCAACTCAAGATGCTTATTTTCGTGCAAATATGTACTGTTTCCTCTACATTTGCTCTTACACAGCTGCATACTGCTATGCGCGCACAACACTTCCGTATTTATCTCTCTCAGCCCGAGTGTGCATCCCAACAGCAAATGCCTGACGAATATTCAGAATGAGGGCAGACTCTTCATCATCTTCATTAATTTCACTGGTCAGATATGAAGAGACTTTGGGTAAATCAATTGTCGGCCTGAAGCTCACCAGTAAAAATGAACACATAAACCATGTCACATTTAAAGCCGCATGGTTCAAAAAGTCGCGTTTTACAGTCTGGAAAATACATTGTGTCCATGCCTCTATTCTCTATTCTGTCAGAGCACAGAGACACAGATTATAGCAAGGAGATTACACAGCCCTCTGAGATGCCATTCTCCAACTATGTTTATATTTAAGCGAGCTTGCGTGCACTCATATCCTCCTATGCATGAATATTGAATATTTGCATCAGATTTGAATCGGATTAAATGGAAGGTAACATTTTGAAATCAGAAAAAAAGTCCCGTACACTTGGGGGTGGACTGTTGGTGCCGTACTCAAGGGCACCGCAGCAGCGTGCTTACAAGAAGAACTGGAGTCTTTTCAGTCACCATCCAGACCTCCATATTATGGCGTACAGGTGACTGGATGGCAGAGGGTTTCAAGCGTCTAGTCCCCAAGTCTTGCTTGAACAGCCAAGTTAATTCTGCACAGACCTTTTGAGGATTTTAACCATGTTTCTATGTGATACAAATGTTAACACACATTTTGTATGTTTTATTTTTACCAATTTTAACATAAACATTGACATTGTAACATAAAAATTGAACATCTCTCTGCCTCTCTCTCTCTCTCTCTCTCTCTCTCTCTCTCTCTCTCTCTCTCTCTCTCTCTCTGTACTGTCTCAAGCAGGTCAATGGAACAGAAGCAGAATTTGAATATGAGGAAATCACATTGGAACGGGTAAAGATATAAGGATGCCACCAGCATTTGTATTTATTATTTACTACTGTAGCAAAATTACTACTATTCTGCAAATGCATCTCTCATGAATCCAAAACAAATCATTTTAAGCCAATGGTAAATTTAGTGCAGGATAAAAGAAAGTGTTATGTAATAAAAGGAAGTTTGCAAGTCACGAGTGAATTGTATGTCTGCGTCATATGCTCAACTCAATTTACATGCTGTGCTGTTACAAAGTTAATATTTCTATAGTAATTTATGTTCAGCAAAATTATTTCATTTCTTCATTAATGGAAGTGACGTCAGTGTGATGGGTTTCCACAATTTGAGTGGTTTGAGACTTTGTTACCTTGTCTTATAACTGTCTTTTCAAGCTTATGTATCAATCATCGTTTTTTTTTTCTTCTCAGCCCTTCTGATCATTTCCCCAACTGTCTTTATTTTATGAACCTTTCGATTCCTTGTCCGTTTTCCTCTACTTTCTGTGTTCTCCTGTCCCCTCTCTCAATTATACTCTCCTTTGTCTCTCCCCGAGGCTCTCTTCCCATCCCTTTGCTTAGCCTATTCTCCTGTGACCTGGATCTGTCTGCTTGACTGGCTCTGCTTTAAAGACGCTATAGATGTACACGCAAACAGAGAACAGAATAGACGCACATTCAAACCCAGTGTCAAGGAATATATACTGATACGTTCGCTGAAGAAGTTATGACATTTGCAAAATCTGTAGAATGTTTTGTTGTCCCACGACACTATGGTCTTGGTAATTTCAGTGGAACATGACTAAAAACATCATTAGTGTAGTTGTTAGTATTATTATTATTATTATTAGTAGTAGTAGTAGTCGTAATGTTATTGTAATGACTGACAACCATTATCTCTGTTCATGCATAGGGTAACTCAGGTTTGGGCTTCAGTATTGCAGGAGGGACTGATAATCCCCATATTGGAGAAGATCCTTCCATCTTCATTACTAAGATTATACCTGGAGGGGCCGCAGCACAAAATGGACAACTCAAGTAAGCACACACATGTGCACAAAATTAAATTAATCTCACACGACTCAATAGGAAAGATCCATAAAAATAATATGTATCATATTTGCCGGACTATAAGATGTTTTGGAGTATAAAGTGCACCTTCAATGAATGGCCCATTTTAAAACTGTTTTCATATATAGGACACACCGCATTATAAGCTACAATAGTGGCAGAAGTTGTGGGATTCATCCACGAGATGGAGCTACACTAAAGGGAATACAATACAATACAGTGCCGCTTTATTTATATAGTGCTTTGACAACTACTGCAGCTGTAACAAAGCGCTTTACAGAACATTTAAAATACTCCGTCCAAGGAATCAGAATATTGATCCATGTGGAAGGCGCATCGCATTATAAGGCGCATCATTGGCTTTTGAGAAAATGGAATGCTTTTAGCTGCGCCTGATGTGTGTGGAAAATATGGTAGTAATATATTTATCATTTTTATGTACAGTATATAATGAATGTACATTTTGTTAGTGTTTTTCTGCACGTGATTGCCACCTCTCACCCAAATGCAAATGGCGATGAATTTGATGCCCATTCTAATTTAATTAGCAAAAAACGAACACAAACTAATAGTAAATATATTTGTACAATTCTATTGTAATGTGTGATTCCTTATTAATTCAGCCTCAGAGTTGATTTGAACTTTTTACCTGATCTCTACATGCATTTCATGAGATTTTGTTTGGTAGGGTGAATGACTCCATAGTCCGAGTAAATGAGACTGATGTCAGGGAAGTGACCCACAGTGGAGCGGTGGAGGCACTGAAGGATGCTGGAGGTCTCGTCAGACTGTGTGTACGACGCAAGAAGAGCCTTAATGATAAAATCTTGGATATCAAGTTAGTGAAAGGACCTAAAGGTGAACAAACACTACTTACATGATCACAACGCACAAAATAGTTGTTGTTATGTGATGCAGGTTTTGAAGTGCTTTTGGAAGTTGAGCAAGGAGCCATTTAGGGGTGGAAATATTACCATAATCACCATACACAAACTGTGAGCTTTTAAGAAAATGGAAGGCTTTTAGGTGCGCCTTTTAGTGCGGAAAATACGGTAGTTATTCTGTTGTCGAGAAATACACTGTCCAGGGACCACTGGCTTAATTAACTACAAAACCAGAAGCTAATTTCTCTTCAGGCTGACTATGAAGCCGACATTATTGTCTCAATATGTGGTGGCATACTGTCCAAACTAACTCTATTCCCAGTGTTTTTATGTAGTATTATAAAACATGTCACAATTTTTCGAGATATCAGTTGGAAGTAGATTTCAATAGTTAAGAATGAAGCAATAAGGAAATGAATGCTGACAATGTCAATAGTGTAACAGCAGAAGAACAAGCAATAGGGTCAAGATTGTGTGGGGAACACTCAGAATGATCTTTGCTCATAACAAAGGGTTGAATGGTCTTCATCCTGTTTTACTTTACGTCCGCATGAGGAGTAATTTCGTTCCTACTGATATAGGACAAGTAGGTGCCACATTTTATTTTTTTTCTGGAACTGTGTTGGTTTATTTTTATTTATTTATTTAGTGCAGCATGCCTTTCAGGAGTCTGGCCTCTGAAGCAATATTACCTTTCTGCAAAAAGATAACCTTCTTTAAAATTATACAATAAAAAGATCTATCGTTAAAATCAAGCAAATGGTAATATTTTGCTCAAAAAAGACATTTCCTATTTTAAAGGTGATAACTTCATCCTGATGATTACAATCTTCATAATACTTTATCTACGGGAGTTCTGCTCTTGTTTATTACCCTTACTCCACTCTACGCACATCTGTTTCTCATTAGCCATGTTCTGCATTTTATCATCTTTTTCAAATGTAACTGTTTTCACACAAGATGTGCCTGGTATGCCAGGGACGGGGTCAGCGTCAGAGATTTGGGACGTCTGTTGTACAGTCATACCTCGGTTTTCGACCATAATCCGTTCCAGAAGGCTGTTCGAAAACCGATTTGTTCGAAAACCGAAACCACGCTCTTTTTAAAAAAAAAAAAACTTTATTGAACACGTCTGTTCACCATGGAACGCTAAACGAGGAAGCGTCACTTCCTCTTCTACCCGAGGAAGCGTCACGTCCTCGTGTAAGGAAGGCGAGAGGAGTCAAGTAACGCATTCAAGTGCGCTCAATTTGTTCGAGAACCGAAATTCGGTCGTCATCCGAGGCATAAAAAATTTTTGGTCGAAAACCGATTTGGTTGAGAACAGAGACGTTTGAAAACCGAGGTTTGACTGTATTTGTTTTTGTCTTTTATCACTTGTCTGCTTTGTGTTACTTCAATGATGAGATTTGATAAAAAGTTTGATGAATATGAAGAACATTCAAGTGTCAATTTTGTTTCTTCTCAGGTCTCGGATTTAGTATAGCTGGTGGAGTTGGAAATCAACACGTTCCAGGTGACAACAGCATTTACGTGACAAAGATCATTGAGGGGGGTGCGGCTCAAAAAGATGGTCGGCTACAGATCGGGGACAAACTCATAGCTGTAAGTATTATTTTTGTGCTGTAATTCCTGTTGTCAGTCTGTCTAATATGTTCTCTCATGGTAACTGATTATATTCCACAAATTGAAACTTTAAGACAACTTTTTTGTTCAAAAGATCGAGGATGACAAAAACATTAGGATTACATACTGATACGGGTATTCCCTCAGTCCTGAAGGAAGGTCGGTCAGTCTGTCACTGACAATAAATGGACTGGCAGACCGGCAAACTTGACTGACAAGTGATGACGGAAGCGCGGTTAAAATAACATGATGTATTAACCGACTGACAATCGCAGTTTGGTTCACTTTTAGAAAATGACCGATTGACGATGACTGATAGGTGCCCTGGCCACGCATCAATGACGGGCAAAATTTTGTAAATTGCCCACATCTCATTTTACAGTACAGTAAAGGCCAAGGCTCCAATGAAGTAGCTTCACATTGCTGTTTGCAAAGTTAAATCTGTATTTTGCCCCTCAAACAAGCATATTGAAACGGAAAACTAGAGTATGTATTTATAGACTGTGGCAAAATGTAGAGCTATCAAATGCTATGGAATCACTGAGTGAAAGATAACTTGTGATGCCTGTCACATATCGAGATTGTTCCAAATATATATATATATATATTTTTTTAATTATCAAAATGGTCAGGCTACCAAGGGCTTGTTTTACCTCCAGCTTCCTCTGTGCCGGATTCGGGAAGCGGGGATCGCGGCCATCCTTTTGTGTGTCTCTCATATTACATTGGGGAAGTGAGCCCATCTCATGTGTGAGCCTGTCTTTGCATCAAACTGTAGCATATTACCCTGGCTTGTGTCGCTAAATGCAGGCTGTTAGCCAGATATGCCGACTGCATCCGGTCTGCACATGCTCTGTCTTGGCGTAAATGTGTATTGACATTGTTGTTTACATGCTTTTTTTTAAAAATGGCTGCTTCCGACCAGAGCTTGTCTATGACAGGAGAACTTCTTTCAAGCTATCTGTAACATGTTTTGATTAAGCCGCTGCTTCAATAAAAGTGTGAAAATAATCCTAACTACTGTGCTGAATAGATGAATGAACTCCAATTTTGATAAATTGTGTGATTTTTTACATCGATCTGCGCGTGTTACGCTGCTGTAAAAATGCCTCTTTTGATGAAGGAAGTGGAGTATCCAAACAGGTGGCCGGAGAACCTCTGTCCAAATCATTTCAGCTGGAAAAAAAAAGTCTCCATGTAAACCATGGGTGAGCAATTGTGGTCCTTGAGGGCCGGTATGTTTTATTTGTCTCACTGCTCCAACAAAACCAGATCAGAATTGTCTTCCAACTTCTGGAGAACTTGTTGATTAGCTGATCATTTCAATCAGGTGTGTTGGAGCAGGGAAACATATAAAACATCCAGGATAGTGACCCTTGAGGCCCGGAATTGCCCACCCACATAGTGTAAACCATGTAAAGCCGGTATGTTGTGTAATTTTTGCTGTTGAAATCTGTTACAATTGTCTGACAGCAAAAGATTGCAAAAAAATTCCCCTATTTCCTGAGCTTCATAGTCATGAAACTCCTTCAGAATCAGAATCAGATTTATTGGCCATGTATGCAAACAAACACACTGACACTTGAAATCGAGGGTCTTATGTTAAATGTAATTCGTGAAAATCACCCACAGGTAGGATGTGAACAAGATAGAGAAATTCTGGAAGGAACTAGACATTTTGAGCATCCCAGACAGGGAGAGATTGGTGCAGATTGGAATGGACGTATGTGTTGGCGAAAGAACCAGGAGTGATGAAGAAGTTATGGACAGAATTGGTATCTAGAAATGGAACATGGAGGGGCAGATGGTGGAGGACTTTGCCAAAAGGATGGAATTGGCTGTAATGAATACTTTCTTCCAGAAGAGATTAATCATAGAAAATGGCAGAGCAGAGAACCCTGTGGTGGAAGCTGGGAAAGGAAGAGTGTCCCGTGGGCCTTCAAGAAGAGGTGAGACAGGCTCTTGGCGGGCAAGGGGAGCTTCCAGAGGACTGGACCTACACAGCCAAGGTGATCTGAGACCCGGGCAATACTATCTTCTGGAAGGAAAAGGAAAAAAAAAAAAAGACTGGTGGAACCAGAAAGTAAAGGAAAGCATACAGGAAGGAGGTTAACATACAAGGAGATACAATCTAGAGCAAAAGCAGAGGTGGCAAGGGCCAAAAAAGAGGTATATGATGACATTTATGCCAGGTTGTACAATAGAGAAGGTAAGAAAGCTCTTGATCGGTTGACCTGACAAAGAGAAATGTATGAACTGGTGCCAGTCGTGTGCTGGATAGATGGAAATAATTTGAGGGGTTGATGTATGATGAAAATGAGAAAGAAGAAAAAGTAGAGGAGACAATTGTGGTTGACCAGGAAGTAACAACGAAAGGGAGAAGTTTGAAAAGTACCTAGAAGGATGAAAAATGGAAAAGCAGTTGGTCCTGATGACATACCTGTGGAGGAATGGAAGCATCTAGGAGAGCTGACTGTGAAGTTTTTGACCAAGTTTTAATGTGATTCTCGAGGGTGAGAAGAAACCAGTCCAGAGTAATGGAAGGTGTGGTCCGGTGGTGAAGAAACTGAATCAAGCAAGGTGGAATGGGTGGAGGAAAGTGTCAAGGGCGTTATGTGATCTAAGTTTCTGATTTGGATGAAGGGGAACGTTTCGAAGACAGTAGTGAGGCCGGCCATGAGTTACGGATTGAAGACAGTGGCTCTGAATAAACAACAGGAAGCATAGCTGGAGGTGGCGGAAATGAAGAGGTTGAGGTTTTCTTCAGGGGTCTCAAGGATGGATAGGATTAGAAATTATCTCAGAGAAACAGCCACGGTTAGATGTTTTGGTGAAAAAGTTCGAGAGAGCATACTTATATTTGTGAGTATATCGGCCAGAAGGGTGATGAGTTTGGACCTGCCGGCACAGAGAGCAGAAGAAGGTTCATGGATGTCGTGAGGGAAAACATGAGGGCAGTTGACATTAGCGAGAAGGATGCAGAAGACTGGCGTTGATGGAAAAAGATGACACACTGTCGCAACCCAAACGGTACAAGTGGAAAAGAAGTTAGTACACTATGTTAGTGTTTCACTCTGTTGTGTTCCAGTGGGATCAGTTTGACCCCAAAAATATATGTATTTCGTACATTTTAATTCCATGTTTAATTGCTCTGCTAATGCATGTTTTCTTGATGTGTCTCCAGGTAAATGCCTCCTCTTTAGAGGAGGTTACTCATGAGGAAGCAGTTGCAGCCCTGAAGTCGACACCAGATGTTGTTTATCTACGCTTGGTCAAACACACCTCTGTCTTTATCAATGAAACCTTTCCGCCTCCTGATGTCACCAATTGTAAGTCATTTTTAGATCATGCGTTTTATGATTTTTTTTTTTTTGTTCATTTCAAATACATTTTGAGCAACAAGTCAACACAAGCTTAAATGAATAACAATCGCTATTCCACTTAAGTCCTGGAGACATTGCAAACATAATGTTAAACCATTGCCAGTTGCCAAAATAAATCAAGGGGAAAATTGTATTTTTGCAGTCTGTGGACTATGAATGTCAGTGCTGAAACAACACTTAAAAGAGCAAGATTCAGCCGGCTGTTCCCCCACTTTGCATTGGTCCACTGTGTAATCTGAAGCAAATTTGCAACAAGATCACTGTCAGGCTGGCTGATTTTCTTGTGACAAGCTAACAATGCTTGAATGGCTGTCATGAAAGTTAGCATTAATTTATTCGAAGCAAGTTTTGCATTTATGTTATGCACTGGACGTGTTTTGGTGTGAGGCAGTCTTTGTTGCACAATTTCCACACTTTGTGCTGTTCTCCATGTTTCCACTTGACGACGCTCAGCCAGTGATCTCGGTGTGTGATGAATTAGGCCACTGCGAAGAGTTCTGTGTCACTTGGCATGCAAAAGGAGAACAGTGGGATTAAATGATCTTTTCTGCAGCATTTTCTTTCTTGTTAATAATGAATTGAAATGAATGGATTACAGCCCTAGCTAAAATACAAAATATGTCCCTTGCATCTAGCCATTTTCTACTCCGCTTTACCTCATTAGAGTTGCGGGTAACTGGAGCCTATAGCTGACTTTTCACATCTGATAAACTTAAAAAAGGTCTTTGACATAGTTCAGTCAAAAACACAAAGGATGAAAGATCACAACATACTAAACATCCACTTCTAGCACACAGGTTGAAACCGCTTGGTAGCCTCCCATCAAGTCATTCACTGCCAGCCATTTGCGCTGACCACAACCTTAGAATGCATGTGATTTTAGAGTTTTTTGATTGATTCTTCAAGACCCACAGAATATTGTGTTCTATGATTAATTTTACATCGATTCCACCAAATGAAATAGAAGACTCTTTTCTTTTGCCAGAAAAAAAAAAAGTTTTATTCTACGTTTTTCTGGTCTGTAGCCATCAGCAATAGGAAATGGGTACTTTTTGCGTAAACAAACACATCAAGCTAAAAAGTGACTTTGATTATATTTTATTTCTTCCGTGACCTCTTTCGTCCGAACAATGGTTTTATTCTATAAAATCAGCTAATTCAACATATGAATGCTTTTGATTGCAAAATATCTATTTAGTGAAAGAAAAGCACCATGAGTGACCCCTCACCAGGACGTCTCTGTCAGTAGTTAGTTGCTGCTGACATGGTCACCGCCTCATATTTCCAAGATCATCATTGCATTTTTTTTTCATTCACTACACACACACACACACACACACACACACACACACACTTCTGACATCATGACATACACTCTGTGATGTAGATAAATGTATAAGATCCCTTTTGGAATTTATGAAAGAAAGAAAGAAAAAAATACCCACAATTAGATGTTGAAAGTCAGGTATTGCTATGAGCAAGCTAATGAAACAGGCCTGGAAAAAATACATATTTAGAGAATAGTCTGCTCTGTGAACATAACCTATGTGACTGTATGATTAAATGAAGGTTGGCATTTTTTGTTTTTATTCTCCCAGCCTACCCTCCACATCAGGACAATCACATCAGCCCCTACATGAGCGGGAGCCAGTCTGTTAGCCCTGCCCCACTGACCACGCCCAGATACTCACCAATGCCCAGGTCCCTGACTGCAGATGATGATCTCACAAGGTAAGTAACATACTGTATCTATTGTACAGTATATAAAATACAAAAGTGTCACTTGATGTTTCAAAACACACTTATTTTTATGACATAAAGGTCATTTTATGTCTCTCCTAGAGAGCCTAAATTCACTGACTGACCTCTGGTCGCCCTGGTAACAAGGCTGTGAAGTGTACATGCATGTGTGAAAGTGTTTGGTTGTGTGAGTGCTTGCGTCGATTTGGCAGATGGCAATCAGAATTTTTATCTGGCATGTAAACTAAGGTCACTTACATAGACACATGCATATTCACTCTCATGGCTGCTCTACTATCTTTAATCCATTTTAATGGAAGGATTACAGCCTATCACAATCCGCGTGACTCAGCTGGCGTCACCGTGGTTACCAGAATATGACTCCTTCCGTCATAATCCTTTTGGCCAATCAGAATGTTTTCAGTATAATAAATCAGATAAGCTGCAGACTGACTGCAGGATGGTCATTTTTATGTCTGTCCATTTTCCGAATTTTGCAATAGTCTCATTGCTCATTCACTGTCTTTCTGATTTAATTGTAACAACTCTATTTATATACATACACATATACCTGTTTAAGTATGGTTGTATGTATGTTTATACTGTGTGTGTGTGTGTGTGTGTGTGTGTGTGTGTGTGTGTGTGTGTGTGTGTGTGTGTGTGTGTGTGTAGTGGTACGCTCGCCTGTGTTGTGTGCGGGCTGCGTCGGATTTGTTCCCACTCAGTGATGGTGTGTTGTGAATGGTTGTTTCTCTTATGTGCCCTGTGACTGACTGGCAACCAATTCAGGGTGTAGTCCGCCTTCCGCTCGAAGTCAGCTGGGATAGGGCTCAGCAACCCCCCGCAACCCTGTTCAGGATAAGTGGTGTTGAAAATGGGTGATTGGAGATGTGTGTATGTGTGTGTGTGTGTATATATGATTTGCAACACCCCTCCATCATAACCCCTTGCACTCCCTAACGCTTGAATGAAGTGTTTTTATTCAAAGAGTAGAACAGTCAGGGTACGTGTTATTTATACTGAGAAAAAGAAATAAAATCATATGATATA